GTTCAAAGGATGCTCACCAGCAGAAGCCACGACACGCTGTTATTGGTGTGTATCAATTTCCAATGTTGGATCCCAATGTGGGTCACCCTCTTGAAAAGGAGGAAGATGCGGATGAGGTGGAAGATCAGGTGGTAGATGAAGGTGCTGGTGTTGGAGAATGGTTAGGCGATGCCGTCGCGAACTTCGAGGAGGAAGACTCTGCACCGGTGGAACCTGCACCAGTTCTGGAGGCAGAGGTGTTGAAAATCCAAGCTTCTGAAAAATCCTGGAAGGAACTGAGGGACCATTTGACCCAACCTGTCCGTATGATCAACTTCGTTATGGTGGAGCCGATTGTGGATAAACAGCAAACAACTGTTTTGTCAGCGGTTCAAAGAATGATGGTGCGCTTGCAGAGACATGGGTATCCGGTGTTGAGAATCCACTCAGATCGAGCGGGGGAGTTTGTCAATGCACGCTTCCGGTCCTTTTGTGAAACTCGTCTGATATATAGGACCACTGGTGATCCTGGAGTCCCGCAAACAAATGGGCGCGCTGAAGCATGTGTGGGTTTATTCAAACGTGGTGTGAGGTCGCTCTTAAAGGAGGCGCGACTCGGGCCGGCGTACTGGGCACTGGCTGCTCGCCATTGGTCAATGTTACGGTGGCAGAAAGCTGAAAGGGAGTTGGGTTTGAAACCGAAAGCATTGCTTCCCTTTGGTGCTCAGATTCAAGTCAAACGTCGTCCGTGGGAGTTGCTGGGTCCGGATGGAACAAAGAAAGGTCGGCAATGGGTCGATCGTACGCAGCCCGCGCTTCTTTTGGGTCCATGCGATGACCTACCTGGTGGTTATTGGGTGGAAGCTCAAGGGACTGCCAAAGATCCGGATGAACTGGTGTTATTTCCCTGCACTACGATTTTTTCCAATATAAAGGAACCACCTGCATTGGAGCTGGAAGGGGTGGTAGAAGAACAGGAGCCTTCTCCTCCGGAGCATCGTCTCAAGGGGAAAAAACCAGCGCTTCGGTTCGCTGATGAGGAAGGTCCTCCTTTACCTCCACCTCGCGATCCTCCGGCTCACCGTCGGTTAAAAGAAAAAAGCCCGGCCTCTTCACTGCGTGGTCATGTGGGCTCTTTGCGCTTGCTTCGCAAGCGGGGGGAGAGTCCGCCCTTAGAAATTTTCGAGGATGACATGCAGGGTTTGGGGGAGCTGGAAGAAAATGCAGATGTTGAGGACAATGTTCCTGGTGATGAGTATTGGCCGACATGCTGTTCTCCTCATGAAAATGCTTATTTGGTCTGCAAAAGTGAGACTGCCGAGGATGGAACACAGTTGGAAAAAGAAGAACAAAAAGCCAAGTCAATGTATGAAAGGTCTATGTATGATTACGTGGACTGTGAGGAGCTTTTGGAAGGGATTGTATACCCAAAGAGGGTGAATCGGAGAGGTGGTATCAACAATTGGTGCACAAGTACGCGAGCTCTGGTGTTGGGCCACTATACTCATGGCGGAGTGTGTGGTATTACAAAGGAGACCCATCGAAGGCCATGGCTATGTCGTTATTTGACATCATTTGTGAAGCACCACAATCCTGAAGCCAAATTTTCTGCTCTTCAGATCTCGTGCAATGCTCCGGTATCATTGCATAGGGATAGTCACAATGAAAAGCATTGCTGCAATTATGTGTGTGGCTTTGGTGACTATAAAGAGGGTCAGCTGTGGGTTGAGGATGAAAAGGTTTTGGAGGAAGGAGCTGAAGTGGTGGAGCAATCCTATGGGAAGAAAGTCTTACCTGGAAAATTAGTGGATATCCATTGGAACTTCATGTCGTTCTTTCCGAGAAAACTGCATGGTCCTATGCCTTGGAAAGGGAACAGAGTATCCTTGACAGGGTACACACCTGTTTTTATGGAGCGATTGAGCTACAAGGATAGGTGCTATCTACTCCAATGCAAGTTTCCTCTTCCGGAACCACAAGCTGAAGAAGGTGAAAAAAGGAAATGGTTAAAAATGACGCTGAGAGAAACCTCGCTGGACGACCTTGCAGAGGAAGTCGACTATGCTGTGTTTGAAGCGCATCAATGGGCTCTAGAAGAGCATTTGAGTATTCGACGCCTAATTGCTGAACAGGAATGTTGCATTTTGGACGAGTTCCATGGATCGGCCAATGAGTCGAATGATGAAAAAGGATCGGAGACCAGAGAATGGCTGGTTAAAGCAAAAAGGGCTGAGGAACAGCTCTCGAAGTTTTTGGTCAAAGCAGCTCAAGTTCAGCAAGTGGTACAAGAGAATACTGCGCTGGAGGCAGCGGAGGAGGTCGAGTTCCTGCAAACAAAAACAATCCCTACACAAGAAGCCATGCAAGAGCTGGAGAAGTGGAGGGAATCATTGTCGGACGAGGTGAAGTCTTTGGTTAAAGAGTTGGAAGTGGTGGAACCAACAACTCAAGAAAAGCTGGACAAATTGGCGGAAGAGCCTAATGCACCGGTGATTGAGTACGTTCCCAGTCTGGTGGTGTTTACCCGAAAACAAGGGACAGGGAGGAGGCGTGCCCGTATCTGTGCATGTGGGAACTTTATTTCGTCAACGGCAGCTACAGAATACGAAGGGCCAAGGTCCCTCAGTCGTCACTCGCTGTACGCTCCAGGTTTAGATTCAACTACATTTAGGTGCCAAGTGAGGCACGCAGCACATATGGTGTGGATCATCGCTGGCTTAGACATCTCCAAAGCTTTTCTGACGGCGCCGATGAATAGGGCGCAAAGAGAAGGGCGTTTGGTGGTGGTGCAGCCCCCAAGGGCGGCGGTGAAATTGGGTCTTTGCACAAAAGAGGAGCGGTGGATTGTGAGGAAGGCCTTGTACGGTTTGGCCGAAAGTCCTGCAGCATGGGTGGAGTGGCGAGACCAACGTCTTCAAGGCATGTCTTGGGTGTCAAAGGATGGACAAGCAATGAGCTTTCAGAGGTCCAATGCAGACCCAAGTCTGTTCCTTATTATGGCACAAGAGAAGCCGGAAGGTGCAAGCAAGTTGGTAGGGACAATGGGTCTTTACGTGGATGATTTTTTGATGGCTGGGACTATGACAGTGCTCCGGGAAGCCTTGGAACAGATCAGGAAGGAGTGGAAAACTTCTGAACCCGAGTTCTGTGGTCCAGGCTGTGGTGATGGATTCCTGAAGTTTTTGGGTGTCCAAATCTGGTACCGAAATGGCAGCTTCTTTCTCAACCAAGAGGACTTTGTGAGAGATTTGCTGAACCGAAGAGGGTATCAGGTTGATGAAACTGGAAAAGGTAGTAACCTGCCAGTGGTGAAAGAAACTCCAGGTGAAGAAGAGGAGGTGGATATTCCCTCCTTGCGAGCGGCTCAAGGTGCCGTAGGGGAGTTCCTCTGGGTGGCAATCAAAACTCGACCTGATTTGGCTTTCTGCACAAGCCAGTTGTCTTTGTGGACATCCCGAAGGCCGCGATTTGTGGTTAAAAAGGCTGAGGAGGTATTTCGATACCTTGCTGCAACTCCAACGTTAGGCCTGACGTTTGGTGCAATCGCAACATGCGAAAAAGAAAGGAATGAGGTGTTGCGTTATGGGCGAGGCGTCAAGGTGGTGGAGTCTTACGCGGATGCTAGCTTTGCAGCAGGTGAAAACGAAAAGAGCCACTCAGGAGCGGTGGTGGTTTGGGGTGATTGTCCAGTGATGTGGGCAACGCAGAGACAATCAACGGTGGCTTTGAGCACTGCTGAAGCTGAATTGCATGCATCTATAGAGGGAGCAACGATGATCCAGTCGTGTACCCCTATAATTGCCGCTTTGGTTGGAACAGGTGAAGAATCGCTGCAAAAGGTGCTGTATACAGATTCGGTTTCGACGTGTTCAATCATTCAATATCCTGCTGGTAGCTGGAGAACAAGACACCTGAGAATTCGAGCAGCTGGTGTCAGGTCTCTGGTGGACCGTGGTTACATGGTGATAGCGCATCTTCGTGGTGAGTATATGATTACTGACCTGTTGACAAAATTGATGAGTGGACAGGTTTATGCAAAGCAAAAGGCACTTTGGGGTCTCCAACTGTTAGTGCAAGGAACTGACTTGAAAAGGGCCTCTCTTGCAATGGCGGTCATGATGGTGGCTGCATCCCTGCAAGGGATGGCAACAGGTGGAGAAGAAGTGTCAGCTGCTGGTTTCTTTTGCTCAGAAGAAGGGGTGTGCCAGGTCGCCAACACATCTACGGTTATGGTTCTGGCTCAAGGCATTGAAATGGTTATCAACAATTCAGACCTTGTTGCGTATTTGGTGGCAGCAATCATAATCTGGGAATTGACATGGTGCCTCTTTCGGCGGCTGTACAAATGGCTGTGGATCAAGAAAGTGGTGGTTATTCCTGCGAGTGCCACTCTGTATACAACAGTGGGTGGGAACTGTATGCACGCAAGCAGTGATTGTGATGTTCTGCGATATTCACAGCCCAGGGCTAAGACGCTTTGCAAGCATTGCCTCAAGGATGGCTGGGTGGTGAATGCTGAGTTCCTTGGTGAGGAACGGGCCGCTGGAACGTAAACTTTTTCAAGTTCGAGGTGAAGAAATCCTCAGTGGTAAGGGATTCGGCCAATGAGCTGAAGGGGCGTCCTGGAAGACGTAAAACCATAATGTGCATTTCAAGCAGCTGGCTGCTGCCTAAACGGTGGTTTTTGGCCAGAATCTGCACCTCCAACGTGTCCTAGGAAATCCTAGGACAGGGGGAGTGCGGAGCTGCAACTGGTATTGTAGAAAGAAGTTAGTGTTGGGTGTTGAAAGGGTCAATGTACCCGGGAATCTCTTTTGGCTCAAGACTGGGCCATGTGCCTGGTAGTAAAAGGTGAGTGCCCTGTGGTTTGGGTTTGTTGTGTGGTTGATCCAGGGAAATCAAGGGATTCTGTTGGGGTTGACTTTTCGGTTTCTCGTCCCCCTTCGGGTTCCCCCCGTATAGGGTTCAGGGTTTAGGGTTTAGGGTTTCGGGTTGAGGGTTGAGGGTTGCTTCAGAGTGTCAGAGCCGCCAGATTTTTCCCAGACTGGGCGCACCAAACCAGGACGATCTTGTCCATGCCGGCCTTTCGTGCGAGCTCTATGTGATGTGGAGGAGTACAACATGGGGGTTTCCGAAATTAGGGGTACCTTATTGGGGTCCTTATGATAATCGTGTAAACCTCCACATGGTACAGCATGGTACAACCCAGTATGCATTTGAGACGTTCCGCGGAGGCGCGAAGGCTTCAGAGTGCAGCTAAGTCTCCGAAGCCAGCTTGGAGCCATCTGGCGACCACGCCACCACAAGAACCCAGTTCTGGTGTCCTGGGCAAGGATGCCCAAATCTGCGGCACTAGCTTCAGCAGTCTGATCATCCTTTGTGCAGCTAGGCAGCCTTTGCAGGTGTGCTTGGGAAGCTCTGTGTTGAGATCCCAGAGCCTGGCCACAGCTGGACAAAACCCAGCAGAAACGGCAACAGCACTTGCCGTCCCTCTTGCCTTACTGTGGAGTCGCCAGAACCGCTCGCCAGCTTGGTAGAGTCCGGAGAGAAGGCAACACAAAGAACAGCCTTCCAAGAATGAGCACTGGCCCTGTGCGCACACAAACTTTACTTCAGAATAACACCAGCCCGGGCCTTCATTCTGAGGCATGAACCGGAAAGCAATTGCTGAATGAGTTAAATGGTTGCATGAGGTTGCCTGGCAACAAACTACTGAACAAATCTGGGTAAGTTTGGTGAATATTTGGATGACTCTGGTGCTCGACGCATGCAAACTGCTCGAAGGGCATTTCGGCCTCGATATGCCCGCTGAGCGAGGACGTGCAGCGGGTAATGGGCCGCACACGGAAGACTGCCAAAGGGTAGTACACGACCTGCAGCCAGTCGGGCCAAGGCGGGGTAGGAAAAAATGCCCTTGGCCAACCCTGCGCCGCAACAACCCAAACACAAACCTGCAAGGACTCAAGCTGACTCAAAAAGGCCGTGACGCAACTCGGATATCAAATGGCCTTCAACACCCTCTCCGTAGACTGCTGGCCCTTTGCAAGCTTGTTGAACGAGGCGGCTAGGTTCCTTGCAGGCTTGAAATCGTGCTTGGGTTTGGGGTTTAGGGGCTTTAGGGTTTAGGTTTTCATTGATTAGAGGCAAAAGTGTGCAACAGTAGACCTTTCTGCTGCTCAGCGTCGTGGTGATCTCTGAGTCTTCCAAGTGGAAGCTATATGGCATCTCTTCCTTGCTCTCCCACCCATCCGCGAGGTTTGTTTAGGGTTTAGGTTGTCTTACGAATTGTGGGGTGCAGTGGCTCATCCAAGCGGCCGCATTCTCGAGCAGCTGGTTCAGAAGCCTTTAGTTGCTGTCGGCTGTGGGCTCAACAACCACACATGCATGATGTGCATCCTGAACAACGCCTCATGATGCCACGGCCTATTCATTTCACAGGACCCGTGTCCGCGGGATCGGCAGCCGGATTTGCGTCCAGGGCACGTGCCAAGCTGCTCTCTGGACGTACCAAGGGGCACGTCCAGCTGTGGGCCAGCAGATTTCCTCACACATCGCAAGCCGAGAGCTGAGGCATCTTGAGCGCAATGCCGTTCAGCTTTCAACATCGTTGAACATGGCTGGGTTCTGTGTTGCATTTCGAAAGCGGGCGCAAGGGGAGGATGGGATAGCTGGGTATCGGGGAAGCAGCTTGTCCAATCTCAAGCGGCTCCAAACGCGCGAAGACCGCTTGATGCTCAGCAGTGACATGTGGTCAAGACAGCTGTCTGAGACTCACACCCTTCCGGGTCCACGAACTCAATGAGGGCTTGGCCTGGGTGTTTAGGGTTTAGGGTTTAGTAACCGGGGTTTAGCAGAAAGCCTACAAGGAGAGCCCAAAGTCACAAAGCACTGCCCACATGGCCCACATGAAGGCCTGAGATTTAAGCACGGGGCCATCGATAGCCAGAGTTGCTTGCGCAGCAGCTTTGAGTTTCGACGTCGCCGCCTCTTCTATGGGCGCGAGTTCAACTTGTGCTCTGACCGACTGCAGGTGAGTTTGTACTATCCCATACTTTATCTTCATCTTATCTTTACTCTATTCTTTCATTGCTGCTGTCTTACATCCTTACCCCCCTTAGTATTGCATCATGAGTCTTCGATTTCTATGCCATTCTATTCCGTTATAGCCAATATACCATATACGAGAGTTACAAAGTTCTGAGCCTCCTGGGCCGCTTTCTTGTCGGCCACTCTCCTCGGACACACGACTCGCTTTTTTCCGTCCAACTTTCAGAAGCTTCAAAGAAGTGCTCGCGTACCTTGGGAAAATATAGCTATGAACAAGAATCGTCATACTCTACATATAATAACAATACAAATATCGTATAATCGAGTAATAGTGACATTAAGTCCCTTTTGGGGGGGTTCTCATTTCAAGGGTGCCGTATGATTCCGAAAAATGCCAGAACGGACCCTAACTTTGAAAACTACCCTCTTGAGAGCTCGGGTACCTGGACCAAGTGAGCCAAGTCGCCTTTTCTTATTCGGCCGTGCTGACATGGGAAGCGGCAGAATCTCTACAGAGTCAACACAGCACGTGCCTCATTACATGCAGTAGCGTAGTTGAATGCTGCACCGTTTGGGCTGCGCCATTTAGCTAGTAGTTTGCGATATCCTGCTGCAAATCGGAGGCTGCCGAAATTTCAGCTGCGACCGAGCGACCGACGATTTTCAGTACCAACAAGAGTGGTTCGGCGGTGCTTTTTGTGCTCTCGTGCGCGGCGCCCCATCTGCGCGCAGCGTTCAGAGTCTGATTTTGCCGAGTGCCAGCATGCAGTTCAAAGTTCTGATCGTGTTGCCACTCCTTCGTGGCAGCCGACAGTAACAGGGGAGTTGAGTTCTGTACATAACGAATACATAATGTACACTTTTCAGCAGTGATGTTCACATGGTTCTCCTCTGTACAAATTCTGAGACCATCTTAACACCCTGCTCAGCAGTGCGGATCGGCTCCAAGCATTTACAGAGCCGCATAAAGGAAGCAATGGACACATACTATCTGAAAACACATCCTTCTGGACCTCTGGTACTCGCACCTTTCCCATCTTGAGAGGACTGGGCGCCGTCTAGCACTATGTGTCAGAACTTCACTCTGGCTTTGGCGATCCTGACTGGCTGCGTGCAAGCATTCACAGCAGGTCGGCTAATGTTCAATAAGTTACCCTTTTCAACCCTATAGCCCGAAATCCTAAACTCCGTAACCAAGAATATGCTCTTCCAAACTAAGGCTCCAAGGTCACTCGGCGAGTGGGACTCTAGCCAGCAACTCATCGAAGATATTGCCGGTGCGACGGCGAGGGTTGACGTTCCTCGCCATGGGCTCTACATCTGTGAACTGCCTTTTACTATCTGCTAGCAACGAGTTCGCATCTTTGTCACATTTCATATCTGATTATCCCTGTAGACTGGTCTGGGCTCCCATGAAGGCCCAGCAATTGGCCTTTGGAGAGTCTACCAATCTACCACCAAGTGTCACAACAGTGCTGCGCCGGACGACCGTGCGTGTCGGTCGTAGCTGCTGTCGTGTCTGGTTGAAGCTGCTGCCTGTAGTACACAGCGGCAATGTCTGGAGCTGTAAGATGGCTTTGTCTTGTGTTGGGAATGTGAACAGCAGAGGCCGAACATGTATAAAGAATCATAAGGGTAGACTAAGGCTTGAATAAGGACAACACTTACCTCACAGCCACGGAATACGATTCGCTCCGCGGGGTTCTTTCAGAAAGACATCATTGGGAACAACTTCTCTTGCAGCCATGGATGCCGACAGGGAACGTCCGACTGGCAACCTGGCAGGTATGGAAACTTGGTTTAGGGCTTAGAGTTTAGGGTTTTTTTGGGTGTTTAGGGTCTAGGGTTTAGGGTTTAGGAAAGCTTGTAGGAAGCTGCTAAGCCGAGAAGCATCCGGATCTTCTTCCGGCCAACCCTCTGCAGCCAGTGCGAACGCAAGCTCCGCCGAGGTTGGGTCTGCCCTTGAGGTGAAGACCAAGTCCTGGTTCGAAGTCTGACTTTGGGGCTCGCGACTTTTTTTGGTTTGCACCCGACAATAAGCTGATGGACAAGTCATGTGAAACTCGTGTCAAAGAGGACCAAGGAACCATCCCATGGGTCGCCAGAAGTGCCTCGCACATGGCCGGAAGACCTGGGGATCTTATGGGCTGCTTTTACTTCGTCTTATTAATGGGTCCTTTCTGGCGGTCACATGTTAAGGCCTTTTCCCCCAAGCCATCCATCACGAAGTTACCACACGCTACGCTCTCTCCCTGTCACACCTTGTGACCCCACCTCTGTTTCCAAGCCATCCATCACGAAGTTACCACACGCTACGCTCTCACCCTGTCACACCTTACGGGCTAGTACTTATGACCCTGTGAACGGAACCCACCCTCGGGACCCCAACCGCCTAACTTTCCAGGGCTTACCAAAAGACCATACAATTTATAAAGGAAATATAAGTGAGTAAGCGATCGCATGATTTCCATATGAAATTTGGGCTTTTAATGCACTCTTTTGCCGTGCGCTAAGAAAATACGTACACGTACGGGCTGCTTTTTGTCAGGTTGCAGCCTCCTCTTCAATGAATTCGGCGTTGGGCTTCTCTAACAACTTCAAGCCTTCTTCTTGGCACCAAGAGAACCGGTGCGAAACCATGGATGCTGACTTTACCATCCAGAACCAACCGTCCCAAGTCACCCAAACGTCCGATATCTGCATGGTCCAGCTGAAGGCACATGCGGCACGAGCATCTGCATCCTCCAACCCTGGCGAAGTTGCCATGAGCAAGTCGGCCTTATGGCCTGGGCCGGGAGTGCAAATACCCTAAATATCCTGAATCTGAAGATGTTTAGATGCCGACCCTTAAAGCCTTGAGGCCTTTAAAACGACCGAGAAAGGATCACCTGAGGCCTGACACAAGGCCACATGCATTTTGCGTTTCGGCCAATTTCGAATTAAGCTCTAAGTGCAGGCTGGGTGGCACACGAGCAACTTTGGCATGAGCCGAAACCTTGCATCACAAGGGTCATGATGGGCTCAAGTTGCAGATACGCAAGAAGGATAAGGACCCCTGCTGCATAGATTTGCAAACCGCGAGCTGGGCAGGGCACAGGGCCGGGCATAGTGCATAATGCATCTAAATGACTCACAACAGAAACCATTAACACACAACATGCGTCAATGGTCCCTTTCTGTGGGGACCCTTAACAAAGGGACCCTCCGCATGTAGAGAGCCGCATATGCGTGCTGATGCTGCCATCCTGGTAGCTTCTTCAACCCGACCGTCTGCCGAAGCTCTTCGATGCACCATGCAGCTTTGGGCAAAGTGTCCTGCCATTTTGTGCACAATACCCCACTACAGGTTTAGGGTCTAGGGCTCAGGCGTTAGGGCTGGGTCCGAACGTCAGGCTCCTGGGCTCATGACGCGTTCCTGCGAGAAGTTACCCAGGATGTTCCCATTCCACGGTGGCAGGCATTGCTCTGAAAAGACCTTCAGAAGCCTGCTGTCTCTGACAACTTCTGCAGCTAGGCATGATTGGCATTCTTGGCATTGAACCTTGAGACTTCCAACAACAAGGAGATCCTCCATCCGACCCGCATCGAACACAAAGAGTGCCGCGGTGTGGCCGCTGTAGAGTGCTGCAGAGAGGGGAGTGCCTTTAACCTCAGGAGTTGGGCAAAGTATCCACAAATCCCAAAATCCTTCGCCCGTCGATGTGAAGGCAGTCCGAAGAAGGCATCTAGTTGCCG